AATGGCAGCATGTTCCAACCAATTTAAATCCAGCTGATTATGCTTCTCGAGGTATTTGGCCGCGAGAAATGAAATCTTTAGCAAGGTGGATAGACGGCCCTGAATATCTTCACAACAACAAGGAATATTGGCCGCACTCAAAAATCTCAATAAGTGAAAACGAACTACCAGAAATGAAATTAAACAAAGCAGTTTTACTGACCAGAGAGCCTGTTAAAAGCGACATTATTTTAAAATATTCTTCAATGACAAAATTGTTGCGAATCATCGCATACATTCTTAGATTCAAGTATAATTGTTTACAGGAGGACAAAATGTCTAGAATAGGGTACTTGCATGAAAAATTAAATTGATTATTGTTTATTGCAAACTGTAGGAAATCGAAAAAAAATAGTTACTTTTTTTTAATTTCACCCAAATATGATTATTCCGGAAGTTATACAAATATTAAGTTTTTTATATATAGATATACTGAGCATGTGCGACGTCACAACTCACAACGTATTATACCTAAGTTATGACGTCGGAAGGACATTTCAAAGCGTTGTATCTCCGTAAATTTTTGACTAACAAGAAAAAGAAAAAACACGTGTTGACTTATTTTTCATGGACTATCGAAATCAGCAATAAAAAAATTTGATGCAAGGGGCCTATTATAGGTCCTGTTACGATAAGTGAGTAAAGTTCAGCTACGGAGACCGTTATTAAAATTGTACAAAGGGAATCTTTCTTACCAGAAATACAAGCCTTGAAAAAATCAAATTTTATTCCCAAAAATAGCCGGTTATTAACTTTAGATCCATTTTTGGACGAACATAACATTCTCTGTGTAGGTGGACGTCTCAAGAACGCTAAGTTAACTTACAATGCAAAGCACCCTGCAATTTTGCCCTCGAAAAATCATTTCACTGATATTTTAATTCGTCACGAACTTTTCAAAAATTTGCACGCTGGACCTCAAACTTTACTTGCAATAATTAGACAAAGTTATTGGCCGCTAAGTGGGCGGAGAGCTGTACGTGGAATTTTGCGAAAATGCTTCATTTGTTTTCGCGCTTCACCCCCTGTTTTGTGTCAGAAAATGGGCGACTTGCCCGCATCTCGTGTGAATCCATCACGGCCCTTTTCTATATGTGGCGTAGATTACGCAGGGCCATATCAAATTAAAAGCAGTTACCAGCGTAACTCTAAATTTGTAAAAGCTTGGATATGCGTTTTTATATGCTTTTCTACGAAGGCTGTGCACCTAGAATTAGTAACGGAACTATATCTACGGACTCTTTTTTAAATGCATTTAAGAGGTTTATTGGGAAGGGGCCTTTGTTCTGATATTTACTCGGATAACGCGTCCAATTTTGTTGGAGCGAATAATTTTTTAAATAGGGTACAGGAGCAAGGGTTTCAAGGGTTTTTAACAGATTCCAAACTACAGTGGCACTTCATTCCGTCGAGATCTCCTCACGTAGGTGGCTTGTGGGAATCCGCTGTTAGATTAACGAAATACCATCTTAAGCGTATCTTGCAAAACGTTTCTCTGAATTATGAAGAATTTTATTCAATGCTAGCTCAGGTGGAATCCATTATAAACTCACGTCCCCTCCTACTCCTCACAGAAGACCCGGAAGATCTGGATGTACTGACGCCGGGACACTTTTTAATTGGCACCGCACTACGTACTTTTCCTGAACCACCTGTCGACGATTCGAGATATACTCATGTTAATCGCTACCGATTTCTAAAATTATTGATGCAGCAGTTTTGGGCGAAATGGTCGCAAGGCTATTTGCATTCACTGCAGCAAAGATCAAAATGGCAAAGACCTTGCGACATTTTCAAGGTTGGACAGTTAGTTCTTCTGAGAGAGGACAATACTCCTCCAATGTCCTGGAAGATCGGACGAATCAGTGAAGTTCACCCGGGCCAGGACGGTCACGTTCGTGTGGTGTCTGTGAAGACGTGTGATGGACTTTTTAGGCGGTCAGTGGCAAAAATTTGTGTATTGCCTCAAGAAGCTGACAAACCAGGCGAACAATAAAAAAAACATTTTGTTGATTTAAATTTATTCTTATATTATTATTGTATTTTCTTGTATTTTAGTTTTTAAGTTTGTTGAAAGTAGTTAGGTACTACCTTTCAAGGCGGGCGGTATGTCCAATCCACATTAATTTAGAGTCTTATTCTTTTCTTTTTTTTATTATATTTACTATTATTTATGTGTACCTAATCTTATAAGTTAAGCACGGCAACGTCTCATTTTCGTTATCTAATTTCTAATGCGTCAGCACACAGCCCCCTACATTTAACAAGCCATGAAGTTAAAAAGGCAACACCGCAATCTTACCGCCAAGTGGTGCTGGTGGTGTTTGTTTGTATAAATATATATTTTTTATTTTATTAATATGAATCACAAAAAATACATAATTTATTGTATTAAAGGGCCAAAAACAGTAATTCAATGAATAATTTAACTATTTGTGTAAATAAGAACAGTAAATAATTGATTTAAATGAATATATTTCTAGAGTCTAAAGTGTTATAGGCCTATGTTTCAGTATGTCTTTTGAAAATCTAACTTTTTCTTTCTTCGGGATTTTTTCGGAAGGCAAGTCCATTCAAATACTTGAGCTGATTTTCGAAAATAAGAGGTACCTACTTTTAAGAGTTGGACGTTTTAGTTTGAACTCTCGAACTACGCCTTTATCCTTGTTTGTTTCAAATCTAATTATTTCGGTTTCTTCAAAATGTTTACAACACACCACAGAATTTTTCGTTATTGTATAATCTCGGGTATAATTATCTTGGTGTATTGCTTTCATCCACATTTTTTGCACTTCAGAATTTTTTTGGAAATAAAAATGTTTGCATTTCTTCAGTTTTTAAGGAACGCCTAATAGTTCGATTTGCACCCAGGAACACCGTAGTTTCATGGCATCTAGAACAAGTTTAAATATCTTAGGTAATATATCGAGACCTATGCTCTTGCAGACAAATATTAATATTGTTTTTATTGTTTTACCTTACCTTACCTTCATTTTTGCTCCTGTACCCATTTGCTAAAAATTTGCAATCAAAGCACAAAGGAACAGGTATCAACTAAATATAGGCAATATATTGGTGTGTTTCTATCCACTTTTTCGTCAATAATGCCCATAAAAATACTAAATTGCAACAATACACAATGAAAGCAATACACAGAAACACATAACCCAATAACAAAATATCACCATACGCGACGTTGCCGTCATTTCCAATTTCATGGCTTGTTAACTATAGGAGGCTGTGGTCAGCACCAAACAAAAAGGGAATTTTTTTACAACCCTGCCTCCAGGCATTTATATTTTGTGTAATTCTCTCTCTCTTGATTTTTGGGCTTGGTGCGACACAGTTCGTTGGCTCCGCATTATTTTTTAGTTTAAAGTTTCACCTCTGAAGAATAAATAATTATTTTGAATGGGCGTTACTTATTTATCCCCAACTCAACTCAACAAGCCAGCATTTGCAACAAAGCGTCCATGTGAATAGTTAAATATTGCTGAAAACAACACATGACGCAACAACCTTATTGATTATTTTGATCGGCATTTACCACTGCCCGAGAAATAAAACTCTTTACCCTTCGCTTTGAACATCCCACTGCTAGGCCAGCGAACCTCACTAATACCAGGAATATCAAACTCCATTCCGTTCATTTCTTGAATTAGATTGTCAAGCTTTCCAGTTGCAAACAGTGTTTTCAGATTCTACGTCGCTATCCTTCTTGGATTGGAACCGAAGGATTCGCACCTCATTTACATTCAAGGCCTGCCGAGGTAATTTTTTGTCTTTTTCCCAACATGATAAGAAACTTTGGATGAATATCCTGGGGATATCTATGAAGATCTTCAATACACAATGGTTTTCCGTTTCCTTCTGCATTCCCATGCCGTTGACCTTCTGTTGGTTGCTCTGCCTTTTGGGATGATTTCTAATCCCAAGGACAAGAAAGTGACCTTCCTCTTATTAGTTCCTCCAGCCGAAGCTGTTGACCAACAGGACAGGACTGCTTATACCGGCAGCTACTCGGTTGACATTTCCTCGTTACACGAATTAAGTGAAAATATTTTATACATATGAAAACACAAAACTAAATGATAGTTGGTAAAGTCAGGTTGTATAGGTTGTTTGATATTTAATAGAGAAAATCAGGGATGTGCGTCTACACGTAGACTTTCAATGTTTACTTTAGGTGTAGACAATCACGTAAAATAGTAAACCATGTAGACAATGTAGACAACGTGTCAACCATGTAAAATAATATAAATGACGTTTAATTCTAACCTCACACTCTTTTTTTCTGAAATTATTTTAAATTTATTATCGGTTTTCGTCATTTTTTATAATCAGTGAATGCTGATATCAAAGTGATAGATATTAGGTAGGTACTTAGGTAGTAGTAATTTTGGATCTTTTTTTTGAATTTTTTTATATAAGTTTATTATTTACGCCACATGTAGACAATGTGTAGACAAATGCCCACGTAAACAATTCGAATTGTCTACGCGTAGACAATCAATTGTTTACGTTGACTTGTCTACAGGCACATCACTGGAGAAACTAGATTTGATTTCACTCTGGAGTTAGCAAATAAGAAGAGGTGACGTCCTCTGAGGGTGACGTTCATCCTAAACAGAAATGATCTGTGATGTTTTAAATTTATGAAGGAAAGGCTCGTCCTTCCACCTGTGCTGATTCCTTGTCCGAACGCTATAGCTTTGATCTCGTGTCGCTTTTTATTTTCTACTTGGAGTAGCTATACTATATATAGCTATACTAAATTTTAAATCTTTCCAATTTGTTTATCAAAACAACATACTTAAATAAGCTAAATTCGATTTATTTAACTTTTTCAGTAAATCGGTTAAGTGAATATTTTCACCAATATTGATGCCAGTAATTCGAAATATAATATAATTAATTATTGAAATTGCAGAACATAAGATATCTATAGCTAATAATTTATTTCATATCATATTATCTGAAAGAATAATTTTTTTCTTTAGCATTTCCGTCATTCTGTCTGAAGAAGTAAATGGCGAAGATGTAACAATATCTGTAGACTCGAAGCTTGTATCTGAAATAGAAACAATTAATGTACTGAAATACTATATTGAGTCAGACACAGTTGTAGGTGGTGAATTTTTGGAGTGAAACTTCTTAGGCGGCCGGCGGTCTGATATTTGGACAAAAATGGAGAGTGATTTGAAAGACGCGTCACGTTTTGGCAAATTTCGTCACACGAGAGAGAAGGAACATATAATGTAAAGAAACGGAGAAAGACAACCATTATAACATTGATTGTCACAAACCAAGGATTATAGGGGCAAAGAGGATTGTCTATTATTGTCAAGCGCCAATACCCCTGTGAGGTCACTATAGATGTGCGTCTCTCTTTTGTGTGGTACTTCGTTTGTCTAAAAGTTGTATGGGATGAGGGGCCAGAGGGTAGTTTTTAAGAAGTTCCAATTCTACTACGTGTACGGCTCTGCATTTTTTTTTCTGAGGATGCAACCTATCGCTTCTGAGCCTTGTATATTCACATTAGTTTCTAATAATAATTTTGTTATTGATAACCATCAACATCAAAAATATACCAAGTTAATAAGCTTAGATTCATATTAACTGAAATTTTTCAAAAATAATCGCGCTGACCTTTATTTCTAGAGGCACCAATGTTTTGTGGAATTGTCCCAAAATACATTGGTTTGCTTATAGTACGGGATACGAGGCCTATTTTATCAAATCATTTTACACCGTCTTGCGTTGTTATCATCAGTTAGATAACATGGTACTGAAACGCACTTGTGCAGGGAAATAGATAGGAGTAGGGTTTTTCGCTGAAAAAAATGTTTCAGAAAATGTCGTCATAAACAAGGAAAATATATAATTATACACCGTCTTGCATTTATTTATTGAGTTCATTTGTACACAAACAAAATTGGATTAACACATGCAAGACGTTTTCATGGGGGTTTTGGGGCTGTGATATAAGATGGAAATTGTCAATTTTTGAGAGGGGTGAAAAATCATTTTACAACACTCCATTTTTGATTTAGATTAAAGCTTGAATATAGAATAGCTACTGGATACTGATACAAGACGTCCTGTGGCGGGATAACGGGCTGCAAGACGGATGTCAATGCGTTGTCTCATGAGGGAGTGAAAAATTATTTTACACCACTTCATGCTTATGTTCGCCGGAAGAATATATGTTAAGAAATGGTAATACATCAGTCCAAGACGTTTTTTCGGGGAAAAAAGTTAATAAATCCGTTTCCTTTTTTAACTGAACTGTTGAGTTATTTACTGAACGGTCACCGTTCACTGTTCATTCTTTTCTAAATCATACAGATGGAAAAGGACAGTTGACATAGCAGCTCAACAGGGGAGTCTGCTGAATACAGGAATTATAATTTCTGTTTACAATTCCAGACAGATCATTATTTGTTGTGTCATTTTTTTGCTGCTTCAAAATCAAATTTCCTAAATTTAGCTAATAGTTACAGTCCGTTATGTGATATGGCATATCCACCCCAAAAAAAACTTAAATGATTATAAGCCGCCAGAAAAAGAACAATTTTCAACCTTTTCTTATTTGATGTCCATAGAGACATTCAAATATACATAATATTAAGAGAATTTTGCAAAATAGAATTATTCTACGTGTAAAGAGCAAAAATATTTAAAATTAATGTGCGTTATTTGTAATTTGGAGTGGTATTCACCTTTGTACCTGATGGATTGACCCCCGTCAAAATTAGTTAACTTCATCACCGTCTTGCAGTCCTTTTTTTCCATTTAGAACGTCTTGCATTTTTAAAAATGTTATCAATGTGTTCTGTTTTTCCCATTAGTACCAGTGCAAGACAGTGTAAAATGATTTCTCATTCCTTCATAAGACAACACATTGACCCCCGTCTTGCAGCTCGTTATACCTCCACAGGACGCATCAGTATCCAGTAGCTATTCTATATTCAAGCTTTAATCTAAATCAACAATGAAGTGGTGTAAAATGATATTTCACCCCTCTGAAAAATTGACAATGTTTATCTAATATTACAACTCCAAAACCTCCATGAACACGTCTTGCATGTGTTAATCCAATTTTATTTGTGTACAAATTAACTCAATAAATAAATGCAAGACGGTGTATAATTATATATTTTCCTTGTTTATGACAACATTTTCTGAAATATTTTTTTCAGCGAAATCCCCCACTCCCATCTATTACCCTGCACAAGTGCGTTTCACCATCATGTTATCTAACTGATGATAACAATGCAAGACGGTGTAAAATGATTTGATGAAATAGGCCTCGTATCCCGTACTATTATCATACCATCGAAAAACCTTTTTTCTGCGATTGACAAGAAATGTCAGCATTTTTGACCGGTTGACAGGTCGCAAAACTCAATATTCTGGTATTTCAATTATGTTTCAATAGTTGCTAAGGAATCAATGAATAACAATACAGGAAACACTTTTCCGGCCTAGGCCGGGAAAGTGATTCTCGTATTGCTGAATAATTGGAACTAAAAGACAAACATTTAACAGGTATTTAACCGGTCGCAGAAAAAATAGTATGTGTATTTCGGTGGAAAAGCACATTCTCGGCCTTCGGTGTTTGCCGGCCTCGGCTACGCCTCGCCCGTCAACTTACACCGTCGGCCGAGAATGTGTTACTTTTCCACCTAAATACACAATATACTATTTGGTCAACAATGTGTACCGCATGATTGTCTATATTTTGCATCCAGACCTATCTCACCTGTTTGAAGTGATACCCAGAAATGTCAAGTGTGAAAGTTGTAGGTAAAACTTTACAGAAACTTTACAATGAAGTTAGTTACAAGTACACAGGGTGTGTCACAAAAGTATGGCGAAGCAAAGTTATACTTTTTCAACTGGAACACCCCATATATTATTGACTTATCGGATTAGCCATTCAAACCTGATTCCAAATATACTAGGTTTTTAGGTTTATTCCTCATAGTCTAGCCTCTGTTAATCCCATTTTGAAGATAGAATATGGATTTTTTACTTCAATCATTACCTTTATATTTTGCTGGTGGTCTCCATACTACACCTTTTTCAATTATTCCACCCCTTTTTTTCTTATTTTCTCCCGGACTATTAGGAATAAACCTAAGAAACCTAGTATATTTGGAATCAGGTTTGAGAGGCTAATCCAATAGGTCAATAATATACGGGGTGTTCCATTTAAAAAAGTATAACTTGTTACGATAAATTTATCATTTACGTTACATGTTCCATCTCTTCTTATTTTCATTATAAAGTTGTATTTTTTCCATTTCAGAATTCAAAATAATTTCTAATATTCTAAAAATATCCACAAAATTTCAAATAATACAAGTGCTGCCATCTATCCACATTTGCGTAAAATGCAAATATCTTACCGGTACTGCCATCTAGTGCCCGGTGGTTTATATTTCAAAGTATGATTTTTTGGTTGATTCGCATTTGGCAGTCATTTGTATTTTCATTGAAAGAAATTATATTTATCTCACTTTTAGCCAATGGATATATTTCTGTCCTTCTCTAACTTCTGATTCTGAAATAATCATTTTTTGGCTTAATGACCTAATTAATTAACAGTTTTTTATTTTTGACATAACCTTAATTTAAATTATTATAATTTGTTAACAATTGAAATAATTTTATTGGATTTTTATCCATTCTGTTTTATTCCATGCGGTCTTTCATTGTGTTTTCATTTTGAACTGAATATGGCCTTTTGGGTGTACTCGTCTGATTGGTTGAAGCTGGTTGGAATGCGGTAAGTATTATAACGTACTTATTTTGGCAATTGCCTAATTATACTGCATACGGCTAGTCAGCATCAGCTGGGAGGCCATGGGTCTATGGGTTCCTTGTATACATCTTACCTTTGGGCGCCACCAAGTTAATTGTGACTTAACTAGGAAGATAACTTAATGATGTTATAAACAAAACCTGTGCAATTGGAGCGCTTAACAATAAAACAACTAATTAGGTACAATCATGTATCTGGCTTCTTTATTAAAAAATAATAACAATAATGAATAGGGATAGCCAGGACGTTGTTAAAAATGTGTATACATTATGGCTTGAACCAATTTAAAAATATTTGACTATAAAAAAATTAATGTAAATAACGCATATATAAATATGAATTTTAAGTAAACATGACTAAAAACCTTTTGGTATTTACACTTGTGAGTGATAAGAAAAATACAGTATGGGTTACACTTTACCAACAGGCAAATTAAACACAGAAAAGTGAAAGTTATTGTTAGGGCAACCTCAGGGTAAAATTCTAGAATTTTATTTAAGGGGCACTTACCGAACCTAATTCAGTATCAAGTGATTTACATAGGATTTGCCTAAATAGTAAAAGGTGTAACTTACATGTGATACCAGTGTTTGTTATCTTCAAATGTATGTGTAAATCCAGAAGTTTTGAAGGGAGATTATCTACAGGTTTGGTCTCACTGTAGATAGACTATGGTATGGTAAGTGAGTCTTATGGAAGTCCTAACCATGTTTTATCTGTCTAACGTAGAACTCGACGTGGTTCTGCCAGAGTGGTACCAAGAGAGTTGCTGAAGAAAGGCTACCAAAGCCCCAACTGAGAGCAATCTGGATCCAGTCTAGGATCTCTCTAAATACCGCCTAGCAACTGTCCAACTATAGCCTAAGACTGTCTAGCTACAACCTAGCACTAGGATTGTCTAGCCATAGCCTAGGATTGTCCAAGTATAACCTAAGACTAGGATTGTCCAGCCATAGCCTAGGACTGTCTAGGTACAACCTAGAATCTTCTGAGTATAGTCTAGCACTAGGACCCTATAACGATGTTCGTATAAAAAAAAACAAATCGAGCCCCAAATATTAGAAATAATCTAACCTCAAATTGAGGGATACTCTAGACCAAAGGTGAAGTCTTAAACTTCCAAAAGCTGCTCGGAACAGTCCTATTAAAAAAATGGAACACGTGTTGTAGGTTAATATTTCCTGAAGAAAATCTCATAACTTACCGAAACAGAATCCAAAATGACCAAGGGACGACTCTAGACAATTATCAACAAGAAATTAGTCTAAAACTTGAGCTCCCTGGCACATCATTCCAAAAAGTCTCGCCCGAAATTAATTAGGGCCGAGGCCCGAGACCGGACGACTACTCAGCGTGAGGTCGCAGATCAAAAGGGAAGATTTTCCCTTCTGGATTTCCGAAGAAAGCTTCCATTTGTCAAACTTCTAATTTTGACATTGATGAAAATTTAGGAAAGGACGTGTTCAGTTTCACCCCAACAGTACGAACTGAAAGTTTGGTTGTGTAAAAATGACTGGTGAATGTTGAAAAATGCCTATAGAACATAAAGTCCGTTTTTTTTTTAAAGATAATTCCCCAAGTCAAAAATTTAGTAACTATGTTGGCAGCACAAGCCTTTTATACATAAAAAAATTTGAAAGCATTGACAATTTTACATTGTATTGCCAACATAATGTCACTTTGACTTTTATCTTTAAATAAAAAACAGATTTTATATCAAAAAGTAGAACAGGTCAAAGAAAACGCCTAGACAAAACAGCTGTTCAATGACATGATCGAAATGAAAAATCAAAAGAAGTAAACAACAATTATTATCATAACCTCAGATTATTGATTGGATTTGCAAACAGAGATGATGATGGTACTACCTCCTTTTCTTAAGATTCTAATCAATAACAGCGGGCCCTGCCTTACTGAATCAAACCTTCCTAGATCAAATAACCAAACTTGCAAACCTGCACCAAAAAAACTTTCAGTAGAAGGCAGTACTCAAGGTAACAAAATCTGGGCACAGAAAAGATAGTCATTTATTCATTTATTTCATTGTAGTTCTATATGGAATCATATCTACTAAAGCAAAACAAGGTAGCTTATTAGCCAAGAAATTGAAAACGTTACAGTATAAAAAACACAGGAGCGTTTTCCTGCTGGCTGGGGTTTCTAAAACGATCTCTTCTTGAAAAGCGACTCTGGCAGGCAAGTCCTCTTTTTTTATTTAATTTTGTGCTTTCAATTTCTGGATCCTCCCTTATAGATTTTCCAATATTCAAATTGTCATATCTTTATTAAGTTTTTACCTGGTAAATCTTATCTTATCTGTTTTTGAAATATAAATATTATATTTTAAGTTTTTTTATCTAATTGTTGGCTTCCATTTTGTGTGAATTGCTTTGCTTATTGGTTAGTGCCACGTTTTTAAGAGGTAAGTCAAGACAGATTTTTGGATTTTAGATAGGTACTGCTGCTCTGGCTTTCAGAATCAATTTTTAGTGTGGGAAAATTGGACCATTTGCTCTAAATAGAGTCGGTGAGAACCAAATTTGTGAGTCCATCCCCATTAACTCTTTATTGAATCCAGGCAGGAGCCTGAACAGCCATTTTCTGTTTGACTTCCTAAATTGTTACCTCAACTGAAGGGAGTAATTTTTTAATAGAAATCCAGACAGGTCAAAAATTCAGTAAAAAAGTTTTAATTAAAACATCTCAAGAATTTTGACACATTCTGGATTTGATTAATTTCAACCCTAGGTTTATCTAGTATCTGTGGTAGCTAACTTAATTCGAGAGGAAGATTTTGTCTATTTGGGGGAGGAATCCAGAGAATTCATTTCTTATTTTTTTTACCTACCTTATAGTTGGGGAGCTGGCGTCAAAAACATGCAAGAGTTTTCGCAAGGCGGATATTTTCAAAATAGGTCGTACTTTAGTGCTAGAATGCTAGTGTACAGTCAGCAGTCACAGTTCCGGGACAGCTGGCTCTGGGACGCGGGCAAAGTTGTAATTTTAAGAAGCATCTAAACTGTTTTCTCAAAGCTCAAAATTTATAGAAATTTTGCACATTATCTGTTTGAAGGTCACAGATAACGTATGTAAATCGTCAGACGTCTAGTTCGTTGCAAAAAGGGGGTCAGACGTCCTCAAAGTTCTTATTTTATGGCAGTTTCTTCAAATATATTTGTCAAATACCTGCAAAAATATATTTTGACAGGACACCGAAGAAAATGCCATAAAATAAGAACTTTGAGGACGTCTGACCCCCTTTTTGCAACGAACTAGACGTCTGACGATTTACATACGTTATCTGTGACCTTCAAACAGATAATGTGCAAAATTTCTATAAATTTTGAGCTTTGAGAAAACAGTTTAGATGCTTCTTAAAATTACAACTTTGCCCGCGTCCCAGAGCCAGCTGTCCCGGAACTGTGAGTGCTGACTGTACACTGGCATTCTAGCACTAAAGTACGACCTATTTTGAAAATATCCGCCTTGCGAAAACTCTTGCATGTTTTTGGCGCCACCTCCTGGACTATTATTTTTGCTCGTATTTTTGCCTGCCAGAACTGTTATCAAGAAAGCAGTATTCTGCTCAATTATAACGAGCATTCTAATTTAATCTTGTTATGATTCTAATTTTTTTATTATCTTACCATTAATCTTAATTATTTGATTGTTTTTTATATTAAAATATATATTTTTTTTAACGTGCAATAACTGTTCATACCTGATTCTGTTGGAAGGGAGTGTCTGTACAACAATAATTTTATATTAAATTTCAATTTAAATTTTCTTTGCAAGACACTCACTTTTTTGACAGAACTCCGGGATTTAATATTCCAATTATTGGTGAACGTGATACTGCCTTATTCTTTTCTGGATACCTACTCTACAAAAAGATCACTGTTTGGAGTCTGGATCAGCTGGAGTGACGTCACCCCAGCAATCTATCCTCTTCCTGGATACAGGAAACAACACGAAAAGCTCCAGTTCACGAAAGTGAAACCCCAACACCCATTGAAGAGCTCCGGATTGGAAAGCAGGTACTTGGTATCAGATTCACCAAGAAAAACCAAGCTGTTAACACTGAAATTGACTACATAATATTGTACACTAAATAAAATTATTGTTTGTTGGATTTTGAGTGGTTTCATTTGCACACAAAAAGGGGCTACACGTTATCTCAATTTTTCTTTGAATTCACGACCCTAGGTTATCTTTTCTGAAAGTATGCAAATTCCAATTTATTTGTAACAAACTTGCCTGCGCCACACTTTTGTGACATGCCCTGTACACTTGTAACTAACTTTATTGAAAACTTTCTGATATTACCTACAACTTTCAAATTTGACATTTCTGGGTATCTCTTCAAACAGGTGAGATAGGTGTGGGTGCAAAATATAGACAATCACCCGGTACCTACTCAAATACTGAGTTGAAATATTTATTGAACCTCAAAACTTGTAGAATTGAACAAAACATTGAGCATATTACTTCTCACAGTGAGCCATCAAAATGAAGAAAAAGTAGAAATAGTTTTTGAGTACGAATATACCTACTGATAATTTTCAGTGGGAATTTGTTCTCACGTTCATTATTATTTGTTTTGTAGCACTGAGTCAGTCAAACTGCTTCAGCAAAACTACTGATTTTTGTTTTCCCAGGACAGTTGCGTAATCATTTTACCTGAATCTGTGTCACTCCAATTTTCTCGTGGTGTGGACGTTCTTCCAATAGAACATATTGTATAATCCATTATAGATTGCAAAGTCTCCATATTATGATTCAAGTTCGCAGCGAAACTCTCTAGCTGTTGCGAGCTTTTTTTCATGTCAATTGAAGCTTTTTCAAGATTTTCCTATGAACAAAAAAAATAAGAAATACCCATTGATTGGTTCAATTTATGGGTACCTCTATGTTTTCGTTGCTGACGTTTGCCTTGAAAATGTTTTCACCCAAGGTTTTCAACGACCCAAGTAGAGGGGCGGCTTCCTTACCCAATAAGGTAGCGGAGGAAGAACGCTGTATCATTGGAGGTCCCATTTCTTCATTTAATTTCGAGCAAGCATTGTTTATACCAACAATGGCGTTTCGATAGTTTGCTGAAATTATAAATTATTGAAGAAAAGCATTGATTTTCTTATAGCATTTACTTACTAGCAAGTTCCGAAATCTCTTCATGTACTGCATAGATAGCTGAGTCTATAGGAGAATTATTTTCCATTTCTTTCAGTATATTATAGAATTCGATTGCTATTCATGTGGCTCTAATGGATATAACAATGATTGAATAACAATAAGGTGTCACTTTTTGACTATAGTTTGAAGCTTTGAGGTTCTGTGGCATTGAGGTAGGTTTGAAGGAACAATCAAAAGTATGTGAGGTTTTTGAGGCCCAGGTTTATTGATAAGGTGTTTTCATTCGGGCTAAATGGCCATCGTAAAATGGAATTTCTTCCTGAAGTTTCGCTAGCACGCGTGGCTAGCATCTTCAGAGGTGCTTCCATGTCCGATTTTGGTAGCAGACTGCTAGTTACTTATAATCCAAAAGTGAGTTAAATAAATGTTTATTTTTCGAAGAGTTTAGCCCATACGAACCCGAAATTTGACAAACACATTGAACGTTTGAGGTGCGACAATGGAGGGGAATAGGTTTCTATGGACTATAGGACTTTTGTTTAGAGAACGGTATAAAAATTCAGTATACCATCCCCCGCAATCCTAAACAAAATGCAGTGGCGGAACGCTACAAATACAGCGACGGAAAAAGTCCGGTGTCTCATTTTCAATGTAAAAATGGATAAAAGAATGTTGAGCGACGCACCACGAACTGGTGTTTTTGATAAACCGAACTATCACTTCAACACTGAACAAAATTCAGTGTCCAGCTGAAATTTGATTTGGAGAAAAGCCTAACCTGACTGAATAAAATTAAACTTTTTGGCGCAATAGCCTATAACACCCAGTAACGGTTGTAACCCCGTTTGTTAACGAATTAACAAGAGGCCCATAATATGCTCAGTTTGCTCAGCGAATAATTAGGGGTGGGTCAATAGTTGAATAAGTACTGAATGGTAAAGCAAAAGGTAATTGATAATTCTGAAAAGGAAATAAATATCGCATATAACTCAACCAAATCTTGACATAGGTAAATCCAATAAAACAATTAAGCAATTTTCTACGGTATAATATCAAATTCAATTATTCACAGTCCGGTGAATAAAAAAACAGTTAGGCAGTGAATAGTAAATCAATGGATAGAGGTTTAATGGCGGTTTTACACCAAACCGACTAGTTGAGTTGTTGTTTTGTTGCTGTTTTGAAAAACAAAAACTCAACTGTTTTAAACGATAAAACTGTTCACACTAAATAGAAAAAAATTAGTTGCTTTCGAGTTTTTATTTTCTGTCGTTTTAAATCAGAGAAACGGTTGCAGTTTTCTTTAGTTCAATTCAGAAAGTAGATGGGTGTTCATTATTTTATAATAAACCTATATTAAGTGTGAACAGTTTTATCGGTAAAAACAGTTGAATTTCTGTATTTTAAAACAGCAACAAAACAGCAACTCAACTAGTCGCTTTGGTTTAAAACCGCCATAACCCTAAATTGAATCCAACAAACTAAAAAAATAATATCACAATATACACTAGTATAGTTGTCATATTAACAGTCGCTGGCCATATCGTCAACTTGAAATGAAAATATGAATGATCCAAGTTTCCAGAAAATTAATTTAGAAAAAAATATAAATGATTGAAAATTGTAATATTGTGTGGATAAATATGGTCAGCTACTGCCAGGGAAAAAAAAGACACTAAAATCAAATCAAAACTAAATGAAATCAAAGGTTAAACGTTGAAGGTATGAAGGAGATATAACAGAGATCTTCAAGTATATAAGGTATAGAACCCAGGTGAAAAATTGATCAATTTTTGATGATGTAGGTCAATCATTTTAAATTTAGAACATATTGTCTAACCTTGACCTCAGTTCAGATTATTGATTATGATTGATAAAATTTACAATCGTAAAACATGGCAGTACTAAAAGTTAAATAAAGGTAATTCAATAATAAATTCGATAAATCGAAAGTCAAAAAACTTTATACAAGCCTCAATTCCAACGAGAACGTTGGAGTACGGTAGCCATCCATTTTCTGTCACTTAACGAGGGAAGTTGCGGATGTAAATTGCAGATTTTAGCCTTGAATCAAGGTAGATAGAGGCTAGAAGTTCACAGTTTTTATCAAATGTTGAGGGACAGCTGTCGACGCGTGAGGGACTTCATTCCTCTAGGAAATCCCTTCAAAAGCTCTATAACCATGCTGCACGAAAATGGTGATCGTTAGAAATGTGGGACTCCTCGGAAGAAACGAGCTACTCGAAAGACACTGTAATAGAGCATTACATGAACAACCATTACTTAAGAAAAAAAATTCAAAATAACTTACCACGAGAGTTCGAAATTCAAACTTGAATAAAACGGTAATCACAAGACTTTTGAATACAATTTTTTGGTAATCAACGGAACTTTGCCTCACGCAACTTTATTTCGTTGAGCTAGTGCCTGATGGCCGATAAGGTACTTTTTCACGAGAACGGTAATCAAATTTGGCTCAGGAGGACGGCTGCCCCCAGGCTAGGATCAACCTTTCATGTCGAAAGTCAAAATTTAAGAGGGACGAAGAAAAGGGCAAGCTGAACAAGCTGAGCATCTCTTGGAAAAATAGCCAACGGGAAGGGTTGGTACCAAACTGGTAATTCAAATTTAAACAAAAACGTGCCCTCTAGGTTAATAATTACTATTATTATTGGCGACAGAAACCTTCTTTCAGTAATGCCAGTCACCAGACTGCCAGCATTCAAGGCGACAATTTAATCTATGAAACAATATATGAAAGAAAAAGGATCATTTACGAACAGTAGCATTTCACATGCTACACGGTACAGTTAGAAGATGTAAGACAAGCTTTTAGTCAGAGCAGAGGGCATTTCGTACGCGGAACTCCTCAAGTCAATGAGAACGGAAGTAGACCCGCGGAAATAGGAGTCACCATTAACAGCGCGACAGAAACTAGAAAAAGGAAGTAGCTCTCCTTAATAACGTATAAAGGCGCTCAAACCACACAGAGAATGGCAACCAATTATGAGAGACAGGGCAGCAATCGAGAAAGTAATAGCCAGAGAGATCAACATTCCGACAAAAGACATCCTGTTACCTTGGCGAGAAGAGCCTGGCAAGGAATAACACAAAAAGCGACAGTAATCCTACCATCCTCCACAGCAGATAACCTTGTTAAAATGGCAAGTATAAAACTTGGATAGACCAAACGCAGCATCAAGGAGAGGATAGAGCAGCAAAAATCTTTCCGATGCTGGCGAGCAGGACATACCCAAGTAGCACAAATGTGTTCATTACGATCACATACATTGCTATAAAACAACTTGCTATATAACTGCGATATTTCTTAGTTGGGTTGTGTTCAGAATTGGGTAATTCTTATTTATCGATATTAATAGGACTCCATCACAGAGTCAAGAATCGAGCGTTGAGTTTTTATAAACATATACCTTTTTGTGGGGTTTTGCGCGCTATACCTCACGATGGAGATACGAAACCTACGACAGTGTTAAAAAGTACAGCTCCAGTCGACGAGCGTCACGGTCTTTTACATCCGCGTTTTTTGGTGACACGTTGAGAACAATCGATCTCAATGATTTCGGTTATCGGATGTACTTTCGCTCAATAATATTATCCGGAAGCTCATTTTTGGGAGCATCAAGAAACCCCGGCCGGGTAAGCTAGAGTCCAGGACACAGAGGTGAGACCTTACCAATACCCATTTTTTTAAAATCTTTATCGTGAGTCGTTTTTTCTTATTTTCAACTTATTTCAAAAATTAAGTTTGCCTGTTTCTATTAAAACAGGCTGGTCCTAAACATTTGGTCCTTCGAGCCGGATGGAAAGTCCTTGGGATATACAGTGCATATTAAAATTATTGAAATTATAAAGAATGACTTATTTTTGGTTTCTGGTTGCAACAATCACCGGCTTGAGTATAAAGTCCAAGTAAATTCCAAGACTTTTTTTGGTGTTTTGGAACTTGTTTGGTATAAAAGTTAAAGAATTTATTGGGACTATACGGGTTTCTAGTTTTTTGCTGGATAGGTGTAGATTTCAACTATTTTCATTGTTTGTTTAGATATTCAAATAAATGCAAAATAGAGAATAGATCATATAAAATTATTTGTTTTTGTTCAAATTTCAAATTTCTTTTGGGTCAAAATAATATTTGGATTATTATTTATTACCTAATTACATTGCTTGAATAAGTGATATTGTTTTTTCAATTTTCAAAATTCATATTGTGGTGAATCGTGCAAAAGATAATTAGTCGTTGTGTACCTTGAAGCATGAAGGCATAATTTGGTGGATGCCTTTATCGTAAACAAAAAAAAAATTTTTGAACCGTAAATTAACACTATTGGATTTTTTGATTTTTTTTGCATTTGAGTTTTTTCATTTAGCTAACATTGCCAATAATTAGCCGCGCTTCAAAAAAGGCTCGTTCTTTATTGGCGAATTTGTTTCTTTTTTTTCTTTTTTTTGAATTTTGAAAGATTATTCATCATGGACGGACTCTAGAGAAAGCGAAAATCTGTTATGAAGACTCTAGAAAGATTGGGTGCTATGGGTCAAAAGGCATTAGGCAACAAAAGTAAATATTTGGCAGATTTTCGTTCAGCTTTTGAGGACCTCCATCGACTTCAATCAGCCTTTGAGGAGCTGCACCTTGAAATCGTAAATCTTTGTAGTGATGCTGAATTTGATATGGAAGACAAAGTTCATGCTCATGTTGAAGCGTTGTGCTTTTCCATAAGAAATATACATCGCGACCTTGTTGCAGACAGTTCCTCTGTTAAAGCAGAGAGTGCTGCAGCGGCAGGGGTGTCGACGGTAGCAGTAAATCAAAGTGCTAATCAAATGAGTGACACTCTAAAATTACCTAGGATAGAAATTCCGAAATTTGACGGTAATATTAGAAAGTGGCCTACATTTTTCGATTTGTATAAAGGTCTCATCCATAATAATAGTTCGCTGACTGACATTGAGCGTTTTCAATTTTTGATTTCATATTTAGAAAAAGATGCGGCTACTGTAATTAAAAATTTGCCTATTACTGAAGCTAATTATAAGACTGCGTACGATGCCCTTGTAGCGAGATACCAAAATGATAGAGTGTTGGTTAAT